CAGCATCCAAAACATGGCCGAGACCCTGTCTGTGGCGCCGTGATCGGGCGGACGCTTGGAGTCTGACAATTCTTACACTTCTTCAAATAAGGGCATCTAAAGATGGTATCCTGGGACCTCGATCAGGTGCGAAGCGGGCACACGGCACAGACTGATGTGGGCTTGCTAAACTGCTGCAGGCACACTAGGTTTCACACTCAAGATTTTCGGCTTACCACAGCACCAATGAGTCACCCTGGGCTACCTCACCGAAGTTGCGGACTTAGTGGTCTCAGTGTAACTGAATCAGAAGTTGTGGATTTAGTGGCAGCAGTGTAACTGTGGCTTTCTAGGCATAGATTACATCCCAGGCCTGGCTCAGTTCACAAACACCGAGAAGCAATGCACAGAAGCTTGCTAGTTACACCACTGGGGAAAGGGCAGTTTCCAAATTCTGTTTACCGTGCCAGCATAGGGGGTGTGACTGAATGCTGGCACACCTACAGACTTTCTCCTGTAACTACCTCATTACATTTTGACTGGCACCAATCTGTCTGTTTATCTTCCATCACATCGACCAGGCAACTTTTACAATACACTGTAAAGACCTTGCAAATACATGTACACGCTCCCTTTCCCCCCGCCCCCAAGTATGTGAGCAGACAGGCTGTTTCCTCTGGTTGGATATTTGCTATTGCAGACCCTCCCCTTCCCCTCCCCGACCCGGCCAAGAGGCAACATTTACCTGTAAGGAAATGCATAAATCTTAAGTGATCACCGAGTGTTGAGAGTGGCTCATATCCCCTGAACGTCGTGCCGTCCTGGGCTGCTGATAGTGCCCAGTGTTCTGGTTTCTCCTCTGATCATGAGCCAACTTCAGCTTTGCCTGTTTCAGTACCTACGCACTCGGCTTGTTCAATTTCCATTTCCCTGACACGATTCGCTATGTTAAATTTTCTCAGGGTTTTTTTTTTTTTTTGGACGATTTGTGTATCTTCTTTTAAAAGTGAAACGTGGTTTTGGTTTCCAGATCCTTTGTTGCCGCATCTGTAGGGTTTTCGCTAGTCCTTGCAGTGAGCTTTGATCACGTTCGCCCAGCTTTCGCTGTATTCACCTCCTGTTCCTCCACCTTTTAGGCTCATGTCATTCCTTCTTAGGGAAGACATGTGGCACCCGTGTTTTCGGGACTGACAGCGCAGAGTCATCTCCGACCCTACCCACTTTGCTGCAGGTGACAGCCTTGTGACTGGGTTAAGCATTACACTTTAGCGTATATACAAACCAGATCGTTCATTCTTCTGTCCCTGGATGCCCAGCCTGGTTCAGTAATGCAGGGAAAAGCATGGCTGTGCAGGCATCTCCGTAACAATTAGACTGTGTTTTTTTGAGGCATAAACCCAGAAGTAGAATGGTTGGATCATACGGAAACCGACTTGTGGAGTGCCGGACTAATTGATTTTTACACCAACACAGGCCCTGTCCCCTGCTGCACCCTCAGCAGCATGTTTGCTTTCTTTGCAACAGCTGCTCCCACCGTCATGAGGAGGAGTCGTCCAGACGTGCTGTTGGTCTGCATTGTCCCAGTGGATAAAGTTTTTGAGCATTTTTTGTGGTTGTTTTGGATTGGCTGTGGTGGTTTGGATTTGGGGTGAGAATGGCCACCATCAGCTCATATGCTTGAATATGTGGTCTCCAATTGGTAGAGTCATCAGGGGGAGGATTAGGAGGCTTCCTGGAAGAGTTAAGTCGCTGGGGTGGGAGGAGTTGAGGCTTGAAAAGATTCCTGCCATTCTCAGGGCTCTGCCTCCTGCTTTGGCTTGGCATGCAAGCTCTCCACCATTCCTGACACCGTGCTTTAGCTCCGCCATCATCGACCCTAACCCTCTGGAAACACACACCCAATTAACATTTTCTCTTACAAGTCACAGTGTTTTATCACAACAGTAGAATAACTAATACACTGACTATATACTGCATCACTGAAAAGTGTCTGCTCAATTCTTTTGCCCTTTTGTTGAAATGTTTTCTTGTTGGTCTTGTCAATTCTTTACACATTATAGACTAATCCTTCCAGGAGACTACCCGGCAAAAATCACCTGCTGCTCGAGTATGTCTCTTCAGTCTGACTGCTCTGCATTGTGGGAACATTCTGATTTGATGTCATCCTACTTATCCATGCCTGATTTCCTGAGCTACTGGAATTCTCTTCAAAACCCATCTGCCTGCCTATATTTGAAGGTTTCCCTGTTTCCCACCAGTATTTTCACGCATTACACTAAGGTCTTTGCTCCATTTTCAGTTGATTTTTTTTTTTTTAAACAGGAGGAGACATATGGATGTAGTTTTATTTCTCTATAGAAGGAGATCCAATTTTCTCCACACTCTTTGTTGGAGAAGCTCTTTCATGTCACCTTGGTTGAAACTCAGGCAGCTATTTCTGTGTGGGTTTATGTCTGGGTCTTTATTGTATCTTACAGCTCTATGCATCTGTTTCTGCCAGTACCTTAAAAAAAAAATAAACCCAAAAACTGGGGTTTGAAATTGAGTTATAGGATACTGTCAGCATCGCTCTTTCTGCTGAAGATTGCTTGGGTATTTGAAGTCTTCTTGTTTCCACAGGAATTTTAGAATTGTTTTATTTTTGCGGAAAATGTCATTGGAATTTTGAGGGTGACATGATTCCATGGGTTACTGTTTGAAAAATTTGTATCTTTGAGTTCGTTAAAGTCTTGAACCCATTTTAAAAATGTCTACCACGTTCTTTTAAAATTTAATTGCACGGATTCAGCTCTCTGTGTGTGTTTGTAAGTGTGTGCATGCCACTGTGTACTTGTGGAAGGCAGAGGGCAGCTTGTTCCCTCCCTCCAGCATGTGGGGCCTGGGAATGGAACTCAGGCTTGGAAGCACACTTAGCCACTTGAGCGATCTTGCCAGCCAACTGCTGAACTCTTTATGCTTCTGGAATACAAGTCCTTTGTCAAACAAAACTTACAGATATATATTTTTCTCCCAGTCAGTGGTGTGTTCCTTTGACTTCTTAATCTTCTGTCCAGGTGGCGGCTGTTCGCAATCCTGTTTGAGTCGCACTTGAATTTGTGTGTCATGTGTTCCTAAGGAACCTTCCTTAAGGAGAAACCATCCTGTGTGTTTGTTTGTGATTTTGAGATGGTTTTGCTACGGACTCACCTGTTGTGTGTGTGTGTTGCTGTGTGGTGCGTGTGTGTGTGTGTGTGTGTGAGCATGTGCATTGCTTTTGACGTGGGAGCTGGGGACGTAGACTCAGGCCTGCACAATCTCACAGCAAGCCCTTTCCTCGATGAGCCCCGGATCTCCTTTTCACCTTTATTGCTTTTGCCTTTTATAGAGGCTGTGCAGTGAAAGGTTGACTTTTAAAAAAGAAACTTTGCTCAACCATGTTTGTAGCAGCTTTATTTGTAATAGCCAGAAGCTGGAAACAGCCCAGATGCCCCTCAACTGAAGAATGGATGCAGAAACTATGGTACATCTATACAATGGAGTATTACTCAGCAATGAAAAATAAGGAAATCATGAAATTTGCAGGTAAATGGTGGTACCTGGAAAGGATCATCCTGAGTGAGTTGTCCCAGAAGCAAAAAGACACGCATGGTATATACTCACTCATATAAACATACAACATAGAATAAACCCACTAAAATCTGTACATCTAAACAAACTAAGCAAAAGAGAGGACCCTAACTAAAATGTTCAATCCCCATCCTGAAAGGCAAAGAGGATGGACATCAGAAGAAAAAGAAAATAGGAAACAACCTCGGAACCTGCTACAGAGGGCCTCTGAAAGCCAGAAGAAAACAGGAAACAACCTTGAAACCTACCACAGAGGGCCTCTGAAAGCTTCTGCAGTATAGACTGTCAAAGCAGATGCTGAGCCTGATGGCCAACTGATGGGAGGAATAGTGAATGGAATTTTATGTAAGAAGTGGGAAATAGTAAGAGCTGGAGGGGACGGGAACTCCACAAGGAGAGCAACAGAACAAGATAATTTGAACACAGGGAACTTCCCAGAGACTCATACTCCAACCAAGGACTATTCGTGGAGATGACCTGGAACCCCTGCACAGGTGTAGCCCATGGCAGTTCAGTGTCCAAGTGGGTTACATAGTAATGGGAAGAGGGACTGCCTCTGACATAATCTGATTGGCCTGCTCATTGATCACTTCCCCCTGAGGGGGGAGCAGCCTTACCAGGCCACAGTAGAGGACAATGCAGCCACTTTTGATGAGAACTGATAGACTAAGATCAGAAAGAAGAGGAGAACCTCCCCTATCAGTGGACTTGGGGAGTGGCATGCATGCAGAAAGGGGAGGGAGTGTGGGATCGGGAGGGGAGGAGGGAGGGGCTTATAGGGGGATACAAAATGAATAAAGTGTAATTAATAAAAAAAATAAAATAAAATAAAGAAACTTTGATGGGACTTTGTCACAATATTCTCTGTTTATGGAAAATTTCACACAGCTGTAAAAGACGGCTTTATCACATGGAACTGAAATCCTGCCCAGGCCAGAACCAACACAAGCAGAGCTCGGAGGCAATCAGTGCTGTTCTGTGTCTCCCCACCCCAAGCCTCCTCCACTATGGTGACACCGAGCGGCTTTTGCACAGGCTCCTGTCTCGGCTTCGACAGGGTGGGGCTCAGGTGCAAGCCTTTCGTGTTTAAAATTCTTTTTCTTGCCCCAGCCCCACTGCAAACTCGGAGGTAAGAAGTTTCGTAGTAGCAATTCTAGGTTTTGCCATCCCCACACCCCATGAGAGCTGGTGGAGCAAAAGACTCAGTACTCTAACCTTGAGGAGAAAACACAATATTAGCATTCGTTGACATGTTTTTTTTTTTCCTAACTAAATTACCAAGTTTTAGAGGATAGGATATGCTTGAAAGGTAGTATTTCCAAATGAGATGAGAGTGCGCAAAACAGTAACATCTTTGAAAAAAATAAAACCACTTTAATCCAACATCATATCACTTTTTATTAAGTGACACATTTATGGAAAACAGTTGAAGATGCCTGTCGAGGGGAGTGTAAATCCCCTAACATACAGTCTTTTCAGGCAAGTCAGACAGACACATGAAAAAGAGTTAAAACACACTCGCTACAAAGAGAGACGCTTTCACCTCCTTACTTCTCAGTCAGTGAAATACATGGACAGCAGGGGAGACACTGCCAGAAAAGAACCCGTGTCCCCGCACGGTTAGAAACATGAGACCATCACAGAGGGACACATGGAGACCCCCTTGGCGCACACCACAGGCCGGACCTGCAGCGTGAATTGGTTTCCATGCTTTTGCTGAAACTCATTTACACTGTGAACAACAGATTATCAAGATACACACTTAGAGCTAAATGCAGTGACTTGAGTAAGACTCAGGGACAGTTGAACAACAACAAAAAAGTAAAAAAAAAAAGTCCATTCGATTCTTCTTTTTCCCCCAAGAACGGCTGGTGAGGTAGTTGACCCTGCATGCACACACATTGTAAGGAATCACACTCCAATTTGTCCAAAGGCTGGGTAGGAGGCACGTGTCCCAGCTGAGCGGCACGGCAGAGGGCCTCAGGTCAAAAGCTGAGGAGATGAAGTAAGGCAGTGGGAGGGGTCGTCCTGAGTGTACCCGCCACAGGTCACTTCCTTTAACACTTTCCCGGATGTTATTTTCCTACTTGTGTATCAAGAGCGCTTGATGGGTGGAGGTGAGAAGCCGGGAAGATCAAGATTGCGCATTACTAGCCTCGGATCTGGCCTCTCTCGTTGGCAAACTCTCCATTGCAACAAGGCTGGCCACTCAGCTTCTGAAAACCAACACTCAACAAGATTGAAGTTTTTCCCTTACTTAGGTGACAGGTGGTTTAAATTTAACCGAAGGTTTATTCTTTCAGAATAAAAATAAACTCCCTGACCACATAAACGATAGTTTGCATGTCCACCGACACTCTCTAGTCAATTAACTGTGTGATTAAGAACAAAACGTTCTAGCCAAGGTTGACCTTGACATTGGCATTGCCCTCCTAAAGTTATCCGAAAGCTGTCATGTTCCTGAAAAAACTGAAACCATTAATTCCAAGTTACTGCCAAGACTTTTGCATCCGAAGCCACACAAAAGTGGGCACAAAATGCAGCCTTGCTGTGTGCTACCTGCCACCAGCTAGCTGCTACCTGAAGACTGGTGACTAACATCAATGCAAAGATCCTAGTGTGCTTTCAGCCAGATGAAATGAAAAATCTTGAAAAGAGTGCATTTTTTTAAATATAAATACGACAGACTAGGGTGAGTCTAATACAAAGAAACAGGGATATCTCCATTTACAGAAACGGCAATGCTCTAGAAGGATGGCTTCCACGCATGGCCAGGTCCTGCCGCTGATAGCCTGGAACGCAGCAACTCTACAAAGCGATATGCTCACTCAGTCTTCACTGCAAAATGAGAGTCCTCGCTGAGCACACCCACAGGCACATCAGGCGGCCTAGAAAGTGGCCAAATGCCAGGACACATGAGAACCTCTGCAGTGCCTATTTGGTTTCTAGTGGGTTTTCAGAGAAAGGAAACAGAAATTCCTGCGCAGATCAGACAATCTGGTTCCTGTGTTTCTAGAAAACTCTCTGGCTGTGAAGAATGCTTCGCGTCTACAGCGAGATGCTGGGGTGAAGATGGTTTTGTTTCCGTGTCAGGCAAATCGCAGAGCACGAGACGAGACGCCTTCTGCATTGCCTGTGCGCTTATGGTGTGCCCGAGTCACATCTGGACCCGGGGATGGAGGGTCGGCAAACCGTTCTCTTGCATTTTCGATTTGACTTCGCTTGAGCCGACACTGACAGTCACCAGGGTCTCAAATGTCGTAATGGCTGAGTCCATCAAACCTTCCGTCTGTGGCGTCTAACACGAGCGCTTGTGTGGGCTACGTGAGGACTCTTACTGCAGTCCCTCAGAGGAAAGGAAGAGATCTCCTGTCCCTTCCCTCGCCACAATTCAGATTTGGAACCGCGAGGGCTCTATGCCCCCACCCCCCCACTGTAGTCTGGACAAAGGCTGTATAAGATGCGGACAATAAGGCGGGTGGTGTCCAACTTTCATGGCTCAGTGCTGAGCCACGTCTCTGGTTAAGAATCAAAGAGCACAATGTACCTTTGTGACTTATGAATTCTAGGCTAACGGCACTTTTCAGCACGAACAGGTAAATGCATTTCCCTATTTGTTGGGGGTGGGGTGGGAGTGGGACTGTGAAAGTGACTAAAGTTGTGAAATGCTAAAAAAAAAAAATGTGTTTGACCTGTGAAGGAAATCCATGCTGACACATGAAAGGCAGTTTATTCACTGAGCACCACGATTGTGAGGAGAAAGGAAATGACACCACGGCCGTGGACTACAGAGGAAGCTCAAAGCACAAGATGCCCGTTGCCAGACTGGGATTCGCAATGAGGATTTGTGCTCGTGAGACAAGGAGTCAGAGAACAGCATCTCAGCACTCAGTGGCTGGGGCAGTTCCTTCGCACAAGGGTGCTAGCCAGTCCTCAGAGTGTGATGCGCCCAACAGCTGGTGCACAGTGTCTTTAGACGGAAGGCCCTCCTCCAATCTAGGAGCAGGTCAGAGCATAAATACTGCAGTTTCACCGCGGACGCGCTGCTCATTCTCAGGCACAGGGCCAAGTCTATTTCTGCCACATAGCTCCATGGTGAGTATGCTGGCCTGCCCACTGGGTTACACCTTCTTACCAGGGAACTGTGATATGAAAGTTCGGCTCAGTGAGAACCAGCTCCTCTTCTGTAGTTTATATTGCCAGAGCCGGTGACACGGCCCCTCCAGGAGAACCAGGAGCAAATACCTCAGGGAAGTGTTTTCACCACACTCGTGGGATCTTCTTGGCATATGATACAAGGCAAGAGACATCCAGGGCAGATTTTAAAGGCTTGGCTATGGCTTAATCACCCATTCTGCATGAGGATTTACGTGATACACATCCAATATATACGCATCAGGATCCAAACAGTGTTGTCCTAGAAGAGAAAATTAAAAAAAGCTCAAGCCAGAGAAGTAGTTGTCTTGTAAGCACAAGGACATGAGTTCTAGCCCCAGGATCTACACAAGAAAGAAAGGGAAAGAAAGAGAAAGAAAGAAAGAAGAAAGAGAGAAGAGAGAGAGAGAGAGAAAGAGAGAGAGAGAGAAAGAAAGAAAGAAAGAAAGAAAGAAAGAAAGAAAGAAAGAAAGA